GTGTGTTTTACTGGTGTACTCACTTTGAGACTCGCAGTGGCATTCTTCATTTTTCCAAACACTTTTTATGATGACACAAAATTCAGTCTTGTTGACCTTCTTCTCAGATGTTTGAGCATCATGCTTTCAGTTTTTTTCCCCCACAGAAATTGTTCTGCTGTGCCTGTCACCTCTGGATTTTTTTTTTTTTACCACATTCATATTCATTTTCAGTTGTGCCCAGATGCTAATGGTGGCATTAGCTCAGTTTTTCATACCTTTCATGGCTTTCCTGGAGTCACATGAGAAGTTTTATGCTTTTTAGAGCCCAGGAGTTTTCATGGGTGTGCATTGTGCCGTGGGAGGGTCTTCAGTCAGCTTGAGCATTTAAGGGCTGCAGGACGTTCGCACGAAACGCAAGCTGCTTGTGGGGCGTTCACTTACCCCAGCTCTTTCACTGTTGTCATGCAAAGTAGCCCTTTTAAAGCTTTTACACATCAGCTCCTTTTAGCAGTAAATGCATCTGCTGAAATGTTTGTCCCTTATGTTTAACTGACATTTAGGCTGCTTTCAGCACTGCAGGCTGACACTTTAACTGATTCTACTCAAATGTCTATTGAACTATTTTAACCGACATTCAGCTGCTGACATTACTCACCGAACACTTTCACACCGTACTCTCCAGCTATCTTTAGTGCCTCAATTTATTATTTTTTTTGCTTTCTACAGTTAAGTAACTTGTTTCACTGGTCAGTAAACTGAGAATTCAGTTGCAACACTTTGAGTTTGTCTAACCTCCTTTCGGTGCTTCAAATACAGCTCAGACTTACTTCATCTTTTTTGATCACATAGGATATTTTAATCTTTTACAGCTGCAATCTTCTGAAGTATTTTCTTCAGATTTTAAAACAATGTATTAAATTAGAACCTTAGGTAGTTTATAGTTATATAAGGAAACAACTTTCTCCTTTTCTAGGTCACTGATGATGACAAACATTCAGATGTCAGTTACGTTATCTTTAACTTGTCAGCACCCGCTCATGAGCTGTTCTATGCAAACGCACAGAGAGAGAGATTTTCCTTTGGTAAATGCGCACATAAACACACGTCTCCTTCTCTGCAACGATCACCAGCTCCCAAAAGCCTGTTGTTCAGTTAAGGTTTCGGTGTTTTCCTTGTCGCAGTTGGACTGAGGAGCGATGGAGCCGCCGAGCTCCCCTGAACAGCAGCATTTTGTTCTTGTTTTGTTTGTTATTTTGTCATCCTTGTACGTCCTTGTATGTCTCTGACCAACTGTGTTGATGGTGTAATGTTGACCATGTAAATGCACGGTGCCACAAGTGGACTGTTTAAAACTGTTGCCCAGTCTTTACAGTGCCTGCAGGCAGCCAGTGAATGGCAATGCAACTTCTAATGATATTGTATTTGTACATGGGAGTCTTAAATCTTTTTTTTTTTTTTATTGTAGAGAGGGTTTTGTTTTGTTCTTTGTTCATTTGTTTTCAGTGGATTCCTTGTTTTTCACCACTGTTTGCCTTACAAGGTAATGTATCTTTTACTAACGTCCTCTGATATCAGCCAAAGATCACATTAGAAAAAACCTTCAACTTGAAGCTTATTGCTGGTTAAAAATGTACGTATTTTAAACCACTATGACCACCCGCTATTCAGTTATTTTTAATGTCTTAATTGAATCGTGTGCTTTGTTTTGCTGCCCTCGTGTGGCTGAATGAGGCTTTTGCTCAAAGAATGCTGTCTCAATTAGTACCAAATTATTCCCCCTCAACTCGTTTTCACAATACTGAGCGAGGTTCTTTGTATTGTTTCTATAACAGCAGTCATGCACAAAGGCTCTTTTGGCTCACGAGTTGCATTCACCATCAGTATGCTTTTGTGATTTAGCTCCACTGACTGTTTTGTACTATAATGCATCTTTTATGAAAAGTATTTGATGCTTTAAAGGTAGATTTGGGTTAGGGATCATTTTACTTGCTAGTTATCTGGATATGTTAAGAAGCTGTACGCTTAAATAATATCCATGTGCTGTTTGATGACAGTTGATTGGATGCTTTTGTTGCAGCAAACACATTATTCGGTGAGGCACTTTTGACTCTCACTCCTGGATTTTTTTTTAAACTGATCGACTTTAGGAGATATGGTTAACCAATCATAGATTTCTGGTTCTAAGCCAGTAGAGTTCATTTTTAAGCGTTGTAACAGTGTGCAGGTCAGCTGTAATAAACTGATGTGTACCTCAGTCTGTTATTTTGTGATTGAGATGATAAACTAACACCAGGCCAAGAAACACAAGTTTTAACAAATAAACTTGTTTTATTGACACATTATTAAGACGTGCTAAATAACAATTACACTCATTTTCCTAAATACCAGATATTCATCTACAGCTGTCACAGATTTCATGCTACAGCTACTCACAACATACGGGGTACTTACTGCAGATGACACCTGATGGTGTGTCAAGTATCCTGGGAACAAAAGGCTGTCCAGCTGAACCCTGAGAGGAAAAAAAATACAAACATGGTTTCACTCATAAAGGTGCAAAATGATTGCAAACTTTAACGCTTTAAAGTGTGTCAGGTAAAAAGAAAAATAGAAACACTTATCAAGAAATAGGAAATTTCACCAGCATAAAATGCTAATATACAAATTGGTGCTTAATACTACAACGAACTACACTGCAGTCAGCATGGATACTACAAGTAAGTATGAATATGTGGTTTTTGTGGCCATAACAGCAAATCAGATCATCTTTTAACAATAATGTATTAACAAGGATATCATATCGTACCTCGGTCTTAGAGATTTATTTCACAGTGTTATACTTCGCTTCAGATTATTTGCAAAAATACTTATGTACAAAAAGGGTGTTTGCAAACCTTGATTGCACAAAATCCTGTAAGTAGTGACACTATAACCAGAGTCAGTATATTTGGATGATATGCAGTGCTTAACAGATTTTTGCCTGCACGTGATAAAAAAATGAGAAAACACAAATATTTTAGAAATCTAAAATTTTTTTTTAAAAATTATATGTCTTGTTTGTTTTTGTTAACAAACTGAATTCATGTTTTCATGTCCAAATTTGAGAAGTCAGAAATTAATCAAGTATAACATTCAACCACTAAAACTCATTTTTCTTAATCAAAAGTTTAAAAAAAAAAATCACGTGCTTAATTTTTTGAATTCATGGATAAAAATAACAGGTACATTTTAACTATTAAAAATATTTTGTGCATACTGCTGGACCAAACATTACAGAAACATTTAAAAAAATATTATGTTAATTACCAAAACTGTTAATTTAGTTGTGGCATGAACCGTACATTGGCTGGTGGTCTAATAAGCTGCATCGGTTTCAGCAAATAATCTTGGAAATGTGTGAATCTGCAGAATTCTTTCTCTCAAAAAGTTAAAAACTTTACACAGCTGTGATTTAAATAATCTTTCTATTTGTGTAGATTTTTCTATAATTGGGAACATTTAAAAAACAACAACAACAACAACAGAAGAAAACATTACCAGCTATGATCTTTCTGCTGACCTGTAAGATACATTAGTGTACAGTGAAACCTAATAACATCACTGCACTCTGCTTTTCATTAAACAGTGTCCTATTTGACAATATCTGAGCTCACTGTTTCTGTTTACACAGCCTCAGAAAACACGCACTGAAGTTCTGACCACTGATCGGACTTTTTATTTTTACTAGCTTCAGCTGCTCTATGTTGGATTTAGAGGATCTGGGACTAGATCTCTGCAATCAATCAATCAATCAATTAATTAATTTTGCTTGTTTTTATTAACTGGAGACTATAATCTATTAAAGGTTTCTGCATGCATAATCAATAATATTATCTATGACAAAGCACTCTTAAAAGGAACTACAGTGATTTGAAACAGTTTTGGAAGAAGTATTTAACAACAAGTATTATAAAATACAGATTAGAATTACTCATTCACTAGTGTCTGCATCTCACTGGTAAAGGTGGGGCTTACATTTAGTTATTTTATATTCCTATACATCAATAAAGTTGTTGTTTCACTTGTAATTTAGTAAGAGTAATTAAGATCTGCACACATACAGGTTACAAATGCAGTCGAGTGAATCTCGTATGAGCATATGGATACAGACTCAAAGCACCTCAAATTTCATACTAAAGAATTTGTTCAATAATGCATTCATTTATCACCAATGCTTAAAGCCATCTTTTGCCACACAATGAAAGAATGAGATCTTTATAACTGAATTTAACTTCACAGAGCACAATAGTGTTGCCTTTAGTGCCAGTGACATGATTGATCTTTGAAAGAATGATATTGACCTGAAAGCTGCAGAAACAATACCCAGGATTTTATAAGTGATCTAGAGGTGTGGCAGTCGCAGTAGCCTAACAAGCAAATGTTTCCACATAATTTGTTCAATTTTAATTTGCAATTGTTGATCATTTGGGACAGTTTATCTTTTTATTTAGCTTAATCTTAAAACTGGCGACGGTCAGCGCAGCACTGTATTCTCATTCTGTCCTACATGCCCTTTGGGATTCGTGCCAATTGTCATTAAAGAAAAATAACCCCAGTAATGAAAATCACCGTACTGCTGTCCATTTGTTATTGGAAAACGTGAGGTGTTGACACTCAATACTCACCACTGCTGCCAAAGCCAACGATACAGACCTGGCGGGCAGCGCTCGGTCACCTTACTCACCATCGTGCTGTCTCTGTACAGCAGTTTTAGTGATAGCAGCTCTGTGTGGTGTCAGGTAGATGGTGAGAGAGGAAAGCAGGTGCTCCGTGGTCCTCAAGATGGCAATGTTTCTCTAGTGAAGCAAGGGCTCATCCTCAGCACAGAACACAGCATTTGCTTTCACACTAACATGACTATAACAGGTTGTTGGGGGGAAATGGAAGCTTTCTTTCCTCTTTTTTTGTCTACAGCGGTCTTAAACTTATAAAAGGGAATTGTCAAAATAAACAAGTCTCCTAGATGAATTTGGGGAAGTGGTGAGGTGCATCGTAGATTCCTTCCAGCGATGCAAAAAAGGGTAAAGGATTAGGCCTGCTTGTGTTTCAGCTCCACGCAGCAGCAGCAGCAGACCTCGGGTGATGACGGCACACGACTTCAGAAAAGCAAACGAGCTTCCTCACTCGTCTCCTCGGAGAGAGTTCAATCAGAGGAGAACACAAACAATATTCCTAGCTGAGGTTTGGCCCAATCCTCTTCCCTGATACAAACATTTAGTCAAATCAACTCATATAACTGGGCAAAGTGTAATAAAGACAATCAGCCCAGTGGTTCAGCTTGGCCTCTGCAGTGAGAGTGACAGCATGAACTGTAGATGCTATGGAAATTTCAGAGCGGCGCCGCCCACAATCTCCCGAGTGGAGCGTGCGACGGAGGTGATGAGCTTCCCTCGCCTCGTATTCAGACCCAGGAACACTGCACATGAAACCTTTAGAGTAACGACCACAGGAGACAACAGGATACTGGCACGTGCCGCCACTGCAAACCGGACTCTGGCTCCTCGATCCTGATCGGTCATTCGCATGCCAACAGGAACAGTTGAGGACACAAGCAGGAATCGTGAGGGAGGAAGTAATTTAGGCAACTTAGGAGGTCAGAACTGGCCTGCAAGTAAGCAGCAATCCTCACTTGAAATGGGGGGGGGTCTCTCTTCACTGGTGCTAAAACTGCAAATCGTCTCCCCTCTCGTGTGCAGAAACAAAATTTCAAGTGACAACTCCTTTTTCGAAACACAATAAGGTACGGGCAGCTCGTTTCTTCAATTCACTTCCATCGAAGAAACATGTTTCCCTTCAAATGAACAATTTATTGATAATCGGTCACATTAAGTGCCCAAATGCACTTGCAGGTATGTGAACAGCTTCGCATGGGCTCTACGGATTTTCCTTCCCCATGACATCAAAGTGTACATTGCTCAATTTTTCCATTTTAAACAGAAGTCATCACAGGTGCAGATGGGCTACACAACTTAAAAGCTGCCTCATCAGCGAGGACTCACAACCACCAGGGTGCCTTCTCTGCAGAGGTTTTCAGCTCTGTGCTCGTCTCCTCAAGAGTCCAAAGCCGCAGTGGGTGTGATGTTCACATATACAACAATTTTCTCTTTTTTTTTTCTCCCCCCCACATATAAATGTTTTCAATACATATTAAACCAAATTCAGCAAATTATAGTGCATGGCAGGTTACTACTACATGGCAAAACTACAATGGCAAAACAAAACAGGGTAGGCCTTGGGGAAAAATAAATAAACGTTGGCAAGCGTGAGTGAAATACTGTCAAATTTAGACTGCTAAAATAAATCAACATTAACTGTTAAGATAGCTCTAAAACTATAAAATTGCACAGACCTACTTACTGTACAAATATTAGGTTTGTACTGGCATATTTAATATTATTATTATTGAAGGACCTACTGGTTTTAGGGTAAATAAATGAAGCAGTCTGTCAAATCAACACAAAATCCTCTAAGCTTTTTATCCATGACTATTATACTTTTTCATAGTTCACATTTTCACAACCATTTCTAAAGACAGGGATGCACAAAATAAAATATTTTGTGAAAAAAAAAATGTTAGTAGCTGTTTTTTTGTTTTGTTTTTTTAAACTACGCTATGTGTAATGGGCTGTTCCCTTGAAAATAAATTCTGTTAGTATTCAGCAATCCATACAGAGATGACATGACCATTTAGCTTTACCGGTGGACTCGCACTGAGTTCATTGTCTATCAATTTTGGCGTTCCAATTCAGAGGAGTACAAGACAAATACACCTAAACCCAAACGACAAGCCTGAACAGAATTTGTACTTTTGTTCCAAACTGAATTTCTAATGCAATTAAACTGAGCTGTATCAGCTGTATCTAGCAAAGTTGAATCTGCTGACCTTCACAATGTTTTCCAGTTTTCAAAATCCACAGCGACAGACAAGCGTGAGCATCGTAACACTTAAAACGCACTGCACAACTCTTCCTCAGTGAACCACGCTCCATTTGCCTGACTTTTTGTTAAGGATGAAAATATATGAGCGATGGGACAACGCTGTAACGTGGTGGCTGAGAGAAAAATTGTGCAACGCGTTTTGACCTTGAAATGTAACCAGAGATAGTTCACCGACCCTCTAACACACACAAAAAAAAGAAAAGAAAAACAATTCAAATCACGTTTGTCTCCCTTCATCAAAAAGTGGTAATAGTAGACATATTATTGCACTGTAATTCAAAGCTTTGAAAAAAAAAAAATTTGTATTTTCTGAAAGCCTGATGCAAATATCAGGACACAATAACAGCACCTGTTTGTCTAATGCATGACATTATAATAGAAACATGTTACTGTTAGCGCCCTGTGGAAGGCGAGGTGAGAGTTTGTTATGAGCTGTTATTGTGTCCCTTTCTTAAACTTCTAACTCTCCTGCTTTTCCTTTTTTCCGTTGCAGACCTGGATGGCTAACATTTTAAATCTGCAAATGAACTCCAAAGAAAAATATAGTCTGCATGACTTCTCTGTTCATAAATTAAGCTTACTAAACTTTAACCGCTTTACAGAATTTGGGCTAAATTACTGCCGATTTATGATTGTGACTGACACCTCTGAAAGGTAACTTCAGAAACACACATACTTTTAGCTTTGCAGGGGGGCACTGTTTGTCCTTTAAGTGGTTTACATGGTAACATAACACTCAATAACCATACTAGTGTACTCCATGATGCAGAACACACAGCATGCAATAGTTACTGACATACAGCAGATTTTTTTTTTTTTTTAATTCCATTTGAATTTAGTGTATTTTGTTTCTTTAAGATGCTCCGCGGACCACAATCATGACTAGATAGTCCTCTTCGCTTTTTGCCAGAGCTTTGGCAGAGGAATCCAGGAACTGCTGGGAGAAATCACAGGGAGGGAAAGCATGAAGAACCCCTGTGTTGTCTTTATCTCTGCTTCCTCCCACAGGCAGGCTGATGACTCCAGCTGCTTGTTTTTGGTTGAGGTAGGACACCAGGTTGCGAAGCGGCCGCTGAGTTGAAGCTGCGGGGTCGGATGAAGATGCGTCCTCTGTGGTGCCGGGAACCGCCAACAGGATTGCGTAGCCGCCCGGACCTGCCACCTTGATGCGCCGAGACACCTCGTCGAGCTTGGGCTGGTCCAGCCGGAGTCGCTGCGTGATCTTTAGCTCGCTCACTCGCCTTCCTGTAGCGCTGTCGACGAGCAGGTCGCTGGCGACGTTGTGGTCTCCCTCCAACAGGTGCATGTTGGCTGGAAAGTTGCTGTTCTTCAACAATAGCATACCGTGCCACGCCAAACTGAGTTTGGTGCCATCCGGCTTGGATGGCTGGCCTCCCTTTGAGCTGCTCTCAGAACGTTCTCGCTTGGCTGGTCCTTTGCCACCATCGATTGCCTTGCGCTTGCGCTCTCCAACTGCTGAAATAATGTTGCTTGAAAGCCCCTTATCAGACAGACTCTGGCTTTTGGGCCTTCGGTCTGACACGCTTCTTTCAAGGCTGCTGTGGCGTTCTGTCGCAGGAGAGGCTCTCTCGCCCCGCAGGGGGCGTTCTGAGTCACTAAAGCGCCCCCCGTCTCTGCTGCTGCCTCCAGGACTGCCATCTGGAGAAGCACGCCTGCGTCTTACTGTCCTCTCAGTGCTGTCAGGGGAGTGGTCTATGTGGCGTCCGTCCTCCAATATGCGCCGCTTTCGAGCAGGCTCTCGCGCAGGCTCTCGCCCCTGCAGCTCTCTTTCCAAAGACCAGGGCTCACGAGTTCGCCTCTCACGCTCCAAATGCTCCAGAGGCTCAAAAGGTGAGGCACGTACTCGCTCGCGAATAGCAGGATTGGGCCAGTCGGTTCCAGGAAACAGCTCTCTCTCCCTGAAGTGAAGCGGCGGTGGAGTTCGTTCCCTGACCCTCAGCGGTTCAGGTGTGGCACGGTGGACAAACGACTCAGCCACCATGTCAAATGGTGGTATTGGGAGAGGCTGCAGGAACTGCTGCTGATAACGGTGTTCAGTGTCTGCAAAGTCCACTCTAAGTCTTCTCTCTGGACCTCCCAGTGGGAAGCCTCTCATGTGTGTGCATGCTGCTTGTGCAGCATCTAAACTTTCATACTGAATATAGGCCCAAGTGTCCCCTTTTCTGTAGTCAATGGTCCTTATAGTGCCAAAGCGATCAAACTCTCTTGCCAAGGCAGCTAAGGGAACCCAAGGTCCAAGACCACCCACCCACAGGCGTGTGGTTGGTGTTGCTTTCCCATAGCCTATTTTTATGGGATTGCGGCCCACTATTTTACCAGACATGCTAAGCTTAGCACGATGAGCCATGTCAAGATTCTCAAATTTCAGAAATCCATACGTGCTGGTTTGCCCCCGTGTTGGTCTCTTAATGTCCACTTCTGTTATGACTCCAAACCTGTCAAAGGCCCTCCTGAGGTCTGCTTCTGTGACAGTTATATCCAGATTGCCTAAAAACAACGTCCTATTAGCTCTTTGGTCATCTTCTGGAGAAATAAAATCCTCTTCTCGGAAAGCTGCCCGTTCTGCAATGAAGGCTGGGCGTGCTCTGGCTTCAAACAGAGCGAACTCCCGATCCCGCTCCAGTTCTCTCGGCAAAGGTGGGGGTGGGGGTGGAGGAAGCCGTCCCAGGGCTAGCTGCTGCAGCCGGTAGTCTCTATATCCCAGCCCGGTGGGCGAGAGGGGTCTCTGCAAATGTCTGTGGCTTTGAGCCGCACCGTACACGTCTCTCTCCACCGGAGACCGACTTCTCCTCCGGTTGATGTAGACCGCCTCGATTTTCAGCGGCCGGTCGTACAGCACCAGCCGTCCCCTGGCGTGCTTAGCCGCTCTGGCGTCCTCCGGCTTCCTAAAATTTACGAAGGCTATCCGCTCGTCGTTGCTACGACCTATCTTGACGCTCACATCCCCAAATTTTTTAAATTCGTGAAAGAGTCCGTCCTCGATGTCCTCGTCGCTAAGCTGAGTGCCGAGGTCGCTGATTTTGAGCGTTTTGTACTCACTCTCTGTGCTGGGCGGCTGCAACCGCGGCTCACCCCGAGAGGTGGTCCTCGGTGAGGCTAAATCCAGCGTCAGGCTCAGGTTGTGGTTTTTGCCCACGGAGCTCGCTGCAGCGGCGGCGGCAGCTGCAGACTGACAACTGTGATTATTTCCAGTCCGGCTGTGACCGTCGAAGTCTCGGTCTCTTTTTTCCCCGAGGAGACTCCGTCTTGTCGAGCCGCCGTCGCTTTTGGACGAACTGTTTCCATTATTACTCCCACTGGAAACGGACAGAGCCCCCATTTTCTTGCTGGTCGGATGGCATCCTCCCCTGTCTCGAATATCGTCCAGGGCCCGGGAGCGTTTTTTAATCGGCGACCGCTCTTTACCTTTCATTTCGGCCCACTCGGTGTCGACCGTCGGGACACTTGCTCTTCCTTGGTGCGATTTTTTCTGCAACTTAATGCAGAAATTTACTGAAGTGAAAAACGGGTTTATTCACTGACCCTGCGGCAAAACAACAACAGTCGCCATTTTGTAAAGATTAGCTCGAAGACCCACCCCTTCGTTCTGATTGGTTAGAAAGTGGGTGGGAAACTTTAAAGCGCACGTCAATCACCCAGCGGCAGGCACTATATTTTTATATTTTCTTAATAAATTGAGTATAAAATAAAAAACAATAAATAATAAGTTATCGAAATTGTTTGTGTTTGTTTAAATATAAACCTACATACTACTTTATTTGTATTTTGTATTCCTTTGAAGTTTCAGAAAAGCTTTTACCTTATTAAGACACTTGCATTGTCATATTATATTTTTATTTTGTTGAGCTGTATGCCAACTTATTTACATAAAAGTTAAATAAAAGTGGCCTATTTGTTAGGTCTAAATGGCTGCACCTTAAGCCTTAAGATAAATCTTATTGCTTATATCACAGCGCCAGTTTCTGCTGTCCATTCACTGTTAATTAACTGTAGCATAATACTGTGGGCAGGTTTTGTAAGAATATTATTCATTTCGTTTTTCCCGGGAGGTGAGACTTAATTATGTTGTGGGAGCGAGCAGATAATCCTTTTATCTTCAATTAGATCCAATACCACAAGGTGGCAGTATTGAACAGAAAGTGCAGCAGCCCACTCCCCTTAGCATTGAGCGGAAAGGGCCTTTCCTGGCAACTATATGAGCAAATCAAGCTGCTGATATTGACTAATATCTGCTACAGTGTAGGCCACATGTAGCAGTAGATATTACAGCCGATTAAAACACTTTAGTTTTTAAGTTGAAAGCATGTCTGCTCTTTAATGTCTCACAGTATTTCCCCATTTTTTCCCAGTCATGCTTCGGCTCAAATCAAGCTCTGCTGTTTGCACTTCGGCAAAAAACATTTTATATTCTGAATATTTGATTTTCTTGAATGAACTGCCAAAACATTTTTCCTAGCAATAAAATTTTGGAAGCAGCCTTGACAAACTGCTGAAACTGAGCCAATCACACAGTGCACTACTTTGTTTACCTTAGTGGGATATGTTAAATAAAAGTAGCCTCTCAATAGCTGCACCTTGAAGCCAAGATAAATCTTGTTGAGATCAAAGCTCAGAGCAGTGGCCAGCAGTCAGCTTTACAGACTTTAATGAGCCTTAAATCATATTTTTTTAGTCAAATAATGAGGCCGAGGGTATACTAGCTTCCAGGCTCTTGTGACAGTCTACAGCTAGCAACCCTGACATACTGAGTGATGATTAGCTCTAGCATTGTGCAGCGATGACTCATCATCTTTCATTTCTTTCTGAAAAAACCATAGAGGCTCTTTGGATCCTGATACATTGATTTAACACAGATCAAAGCCAATGCAACAGCATGATAACTTTAATGAGAGCTTGATGAAAACCTATGGCCCCCTATAGTGAAATGACATCACTGTACGTTCACTCTGAGACATTTTTGAAGTAGAATAAGCCAAACTATGATCACGAGCCCCTGAGTTAATCTATTACAGCTGTTCTGACTGTTTTAAGGAATAAAAATATCAAAATCAGTAAACCACCAAGCTTCCTCTTTTGTTTACGGGTGGATTTGATTAACCTGCTCACACTGTAAAAATAAATATCAAAATTAAGCTCTGATCCACCATCTGCTATTTCTCTAGCTTTCCTAAACACAGCAATCTCCTCAATCCCTTATCCCTTCTGACAGGTCTTCTTATCTTCTCCTCTTAATCTGGGAATTAATCAGGGGGACTATGTGACTGCAGTGAGAGCTGCCGTCTCCCAGGGACTGGCTGGAATTTGAAGCTGTGGGTGTGGAAAGTGTTTCTGATGGCTTTCTGCATTCTTCTATTGGAACCACATGTTAGTGGCTCTCAGGAAACTCCGGCACAGACTCAGGGGAAGGCAGCTAATCCGCCCCTGCATCGCCGTCAAACCGAAGCAGGCAAAGACAAAGGGGAGCCAATATATTCCCCCTGAAAGCCATGCACACTCCCAGGGAGTGAGTTCAGCTTGGCGGGGCTTTGTCCCGCAGCGAAACTCTTTTTCTCAATTCACATTGAGTTCTCAGTCTCACAGTTTGACATGAATGCCCTGGCATTTAGTAATTCACACCACATGGGATGTACCGTGCAATTCAATGTTTCCTTGACAATAACGTAAATTGTTTGGGGAGATTTTTCTGAAAACGATTATTAGGACAGCATTCAGGATCATGTGAGTGTATTTCTGTTATATTCTGCTTGTATGGATGCAGAAGACATTTGACCTTGACCAGCATGCAAAATATGCTGTGAGCCACAGTAATCGATTAAACACCTCACATGGTAGGACATGCATGACAAATACATAATCATCTGTGGTTATCTACTTTATTATCAGTAGTGAAGTGTGGTCACCAGGTTAGTTTTTCCATTATGAACCTGCCACTTTCCCCTGATGCATGGAGTGCAACTTGAAGCGAAGCCTAGCGGGCTGCACATTCACTCTGTACACTTTCCGCACAGCAGGAACCTTTTTT